TGTGAAGGCTGAACAGGTTCAGGTCCCATAGCCTCTCCTCGTAGGGTCTGCCCTGCTGCCCCCTGATCATGCGGGTGGCCCTCCTCTGGACCCTCTCAGCGCTGTCCACATCCCTCCTGAAGTGTGGTGCCCAGAACTGGACGCAGTACTCCAACTGCGGCCTGACCAGTGTCGCATAGAGGGGGAGGATCACCTTGGCCCTGCTTATGATGCATCTGTGGATGCATGAAAAGGTGCGGTTAGCCTTACTGACCGTGTCCTCGCATTGGCGGCCCATGTTCATCTTGGAGTCAATAATGACTCCAAGATCTCTTTCTGCCATCGTGCTCTCGAGAAGGGAGTTCCCCAGCCTATAAGTATGCTGCTGGTTCCTACTGCCTAAGTGCAGCACCCTGCACTTGTCAGTATTGAATCCCATCCTATTCTCATTTGCCCACCCCTGTAACCTTTCCAGGTCCAGCTGTATCCTGTCCCTCCCTTCTAGCGTGCCCACCTCGCCCCAAATCTTGGTGTCGTCTGCAAATTTAACCAGGCTGCTCTTCACCCCGTCGTCCAAGTCGCTAATAAAGAAATTGAACAGCGCGGGCCCGAGCCCTGGGGGGACTCCACTGCTCACATCCCTCTAGGTCGAATATGACCCGTCCACCACCAACTTGAGGTTCAGTTCCCCCCGAAACTCCTGTGCCTATCACCTTGAAACTTGGCAGGCTTTGTGGCCTCACCAGGGGCCACCACCCTTGCTGTCTTGACCCCACTGTGGTGTAACGCATAGACGTGACATGAGTTTTGCTTTCAAGAATTTGGGGTGCAGTTCCCCCTGAACTCTGCACCGATCTTCTTGAAACTTGGCAGCCAGGCTTCATGCCCTCAGCAGAGGCTACCACTCCTGCAAGTTTCATCCAAATCAGACAAAAAAACAACAAAGTTATAGCTATTTCATTGATTCCCCATTATACCCTATGGCTGGATCTCCAAGGCGGCTCCGAAGCCTCAGAGCTGCTTCGGCCAAATCAAAGAGAAAACCCGGTCCAGAGATCCAGATCGGATCCCTGGCATCCGAAGCGGCCAGATCTGAAGCCAGATTGAATAGCTGCCTATTCACACAGACCTACTACCCATGCCCTGTCCTTCAGTAAGGCTGTGGCTCAAACGGGATTTCTGGCATGCACATAAACAGAAAGGACTTCTAAATCCAGATTTCTTTGACATCTCGGTCCCAGGTGACGGACCACCATCAGTCATTGGTACTAGAAGTTTAGTTATGCGGCTACGGGCACTCATTAGGTCCTACTGGAATTGCATTTGCCACTAACAGTCACGCATTTCCCAGCACAGGGGATTGCTGCAGTTCTAATCAAGCTGTAACATTACAAGATGAAAGACTCCATTAAAAACCATCACCCATACCAAACCTTGTCACTCCGAGGGAGCTGACAGCCAGAGCTCCCTCTGTTGTGACACAATGGCCTGTGCTCGACATGTTCTATACCGTGGTCGTTCTGACAGTGTAATACATGTTGAACTTACAGGATCCAAGAGGGAAGAGGTCCTGGGAGTATGGGTGAGAAGATCCAAACTGTACTGCCAGCTCTGTCAAAGCCTTTGACATCAACCCCCTCCATCTCGGCATGCCTCCTTTCCCATAAAATGGCGATGACCCCATCCACCGCTCTGACAAGGAACAGGATGAGCTTGAATTGAGGTCATCCAACCTCGGATGGAAAGGGCTACAGAAAGGGGCCTATGAAAAAACTGCTTCTGCGATCAAAGAAATGAATTCCAGGGCTGGCCCGACAGGCTAACTGGGGGGCAGTAAGTTGCTTCTGGCCAGAGACTGGAGGTAGTGGAGTGGTTGTGGTCAGAAAGAAGGTGGGAGGAGAGGAAAACTAAAGAACATGTGATTTATTCATGAGTTTTAAGGCAAGAAATGATGCATTTAGCCTGACCTCCCACACAAGATGCTGAACCCGTTAACCCAGTACTGAGCCCAGGAGTGTATCTTCCAGAAGAGGACAAGAGATGGGCGATTCATCCCTCCCCTCACTAGTTGCCTCCAATTACACCAATCACACAGTTAATCTCAGTTCAAAACATGTGCCTCCTTCCAAGCTGTTCACCTGGCTGCAAGCAGGATGGAGCTGTCCATCCCAGTACAGCCTGTGCATCCCACTTATGACCCCAAACCAGGGCTCATAACCAGGGGTGTACCAAGTTACCTGCCCTGCAGAGGCACCATGCTGCAAGCTGCCTTTCTCTGCTAAATCAGTCTTTTTGTACTTGGTTTTCATCCCGAGAGAGGCACTTGCATGCTTGGCTCAAGGCTGTAGCACAGTGCGGACTAGAAACACGAAGCTGCAGCGAGTCTCTGCATCCGGCAATCATGGCTGAAACCGTCAGGAGGAATAAGAGCGACAGCAGCACTGGGCTGCTAACGGCCTGCTTTTTCTTGGGGAGGGGGCCCAGGTGCCTGCAGCCACATAGCCAAACTTTACTGACGACAGCAAGGACCAAGATGCCAACAAAACCAGGGCTTTCAAGTCCTACTCATTTAAGATGCAGCCCTATTTGAGCTACGGCCTTACAGAGAGAAAGAGGGCATGGGTGGATGCAGAGGCAAATGCAGGGTTTGCAAAGCGCTGCACCCTGCTCCCAGCCTCCTTCTCACCCCACCCACCGGTGGGGGCAGAGCAGACCTCAATGTACTTTTTTAAAGCAGGTAAGCATCCCCCCTGCCCCTGCCCCAGGCCAGGGAAGCTTTCAACGCCCTCCTGCCCATGCCCATGCCCATGCCCGCTGGGCGACTACGAGGGGAGGCGGGACGGGCGGCGCGGCAGTGGAGGAGCGGGGCAGGGGTGCAACCCCCTTGCCCATCCCCTGGCTGGAGGCAGCAGGCCAGGAAGCGGAGCAGAGCGGGGGCAGTGTGACCCCACCCCAGAGGCGGGCGCGGCTCGGGGGC